CAGCAAATTTGACCAAAAACCCTTTTCCTGCCGAAATTCTTGGTGCAGCTAAATCTTCATTTCCTCCTCCAAATGCATTTCTTTTTGAACTTTTTTTTTGAACTTTCCTCCAAATGCATTTCTTGCTAAAAGCAAAAAAAGGGTGTTGCTCATATTGTGAGGACCTACTAGTTATCAGTGAAGAGAATATTTATTAAATTTCTTACTTCATCTATCTAAAAAAGAATGCAATTCTAAAATATAATTCTAGCTCAATACCAAGTTAAAATATTTTGAGTTTGACTAACTATGTATAAAAAACATCAATATTTATGATACCAAATATCATTAGATTTGTCATGAGATACATTTTTATATGATATCTATTTAGGGTTATAAACCTTAATACTTTTACCTATATACTTGATCACACTTTAGATTTGCATTCTTTTTTGGAACGGAGATAGTGAAACAGTAAAAACCTTAGACGCTCAATCCCGAGTCACAAAAAGATAAAGACTCTTCACTAACATTAAACTCATCAATCATTTGCAAGAAAACAACAAATTGAAAAATCAGCGAAATTTATGCTCTTCCATAAACCTAAACCTTCAGAATTAAACAAAGTTGTTAGTGTACGGTGTACACTATGCAAGTAGCAAATTTAGGGCCAGGTTTGGCAGGTTTTTTTATTTTTATTTTTGCTCTGGCTCCAATAGAGGAGCGAGGTCGGTGAATCTAGTTTTTCTGACTCTTATTTCATTTCTGAAAGAGAGGGGGAAATAGTTCCTTGCTACAGTGAACAATATTCGCTAGAAGGCAGAGTTCTTTAGGGAGTTGAAGCCCTCATAAATAGGACCTTATAGTGCCGGTTCAAAATAAAACTTTGAAGTGGCTTTGAATTGGAACACGATGCAAGTCGCAGCACTAGGTTATTTTGCCGTCTGGGACTTTCTGAGTGATCCCTCTATTCACCAGCTTTCGTATCAATTGTTGTGAGCAAAAAAGAAGCTAAAGATTGGTTAGGGTTATAATCTCTGTCACGACTCATGACGGGTCCTCAGTTCACTGAAAGATGCTCATTCAGAGAAAGACTGATCTGGTTGGTAGCAAAACTACTACCTATAATACCAGTTGAAAAATCAAACTTTCAAGTGGCATCAATTCGTGCTTGTCGCTTCTTATCAACAGGATATTGGAACAATCCTGCCATGTTGTTGTTCTATTCTTTTGGCTTTCCGAGTGCTGTCTTTTCCACAATGGCTTTCCGCTTCTTTTGCAACGTTTCTTTGAGGAAAACGTTTCGCTCCAACTCCAAATGATGTCACATTTGGGCGCACTAATCCTAGCTGCAGTTTTCATAATAATACATACCTGCAATCCCCATTCCAAGACCCCAAATATTAACCACATTGATTTTTTTTCATAAGCACGTACTGTCCACCTTTCTCTAGCTCTCATACAAGAATCAATATGTCAATACAAGCAGTGTCCACTGTCAGATTACGAACTGTATGTACGAAAGAACAATAATGTGCCAAAGCAAAGACAGTTGTAACAATAATGTGCCAAAGCAAAGACACAGTTGTAACAATAATGTAGGCCTTGTTTAGATTGCAACTTTTTTCAACCCGATGAATAGTACTATTTTCGTCTTATTTGGCAAATATTGTCTAATCGTGGACCAACTAGGCTAAAAGATTCATCTCGTGATTTCTAACTAAACTGTGTAATTAGTTATTTTTTTTACCTACATTTAATACTCTATACAAGTAATTTAAAAATTGATGTGATAGAGAGAGAGTGAAAAAACTTTTGGAATTTTGAAGGTATCTAAACAAGACCGTAGTGTGTACCGGTAGAAAGAGAAGAACCGGTGCAGCAGCACAGAAACAACCCATGGGGTGGTGTAGTGTGTACCGGTAGTGTACAGCAGCAGGGCTGTAGCCTGTATAGGGTGCAGTTGTAGGGGGAAATGATGGTGCTAGATTTGGGGTGGCCGACTGGGCGGGGTCAAGTCGCGACGACGAGGCCTGAGGCAGTAGCCCACCCACGCCCCCGCGGCCCCGCCACGTCCATCGGCGCGTCGCTTCCTGCCATGTGGGGCCCTGCAGTTACAAGGACAGGAAAGATAGCAGCACGTTTCGTCTCCCCGTTGGCTGCTTCCCGTGCCGGGCTGGGACCCGCCCAGCAGCCTCACTGTCTCGTTCCTGCACTTGGCTACGCCACGGAGCCCTCTGCTTTGGTGCACTGCACCACCAATCCACTTTCTCGGCTGTGACTACGGAGTAAGGCAGAGCAACCGCACTGTTTACTTGAATTATTCGCAAAAAATATTGTTTTGGTTGAAAAAATAAGCTGAATAGTGCGGATTAAAAATATTGTTCGCGGGTTTGATGGTTCAGTATGCCTGATAAGGAGTACGACGAGGCAGACAACGAAGACGACTTGTTAACCTAACATGTGCCTTGTGTTGTATAATTAACGGGACTTTGCTAGACAAGTAGACAACTCATCTTTTGGGCAATATCTCTATATGCAAAGCGACCCATGCTAAGGCCCGTTCGGCTTGCTGAATTGGCTGAAAAATACTGTTCTGGCTTAATTGTTGCGAGAGAAAACACTGTTCCAGCTGAAAAAACAAGTTGAACAGTGCGGATTATAAGTTAAGCCAAACGGGGCCATATCTATGTTTGGCTTTTCGTTTGCCAGCAGTATAAGAGAGTTCTAGTATCCTAGGGATCTATTTGAATTGTCTAAGGGCCGGTTGCTATTGCAAACTAAAAACTATTAACTTGTCTAGCCAACTAAAGTTTAGTTTGGAGGTATTTGGACCCCCAACTAAAAGTTCTACGTGAGAGAAAATTAGGGGGTTTCTGCCCAACTAATAAACTATTTATTAGCTTGGAGTTGGACTAGAGTTTAGTACACTCATTAGTCTGCATATTTAGATAGATTAGAACTATTTTCAGCTGCTAGTTATTACTTATTAGTTGAAATGATCGAAACAAACCTTAATTCAGGCAAGATATGAGTACGTTTGAATTGTTCTCTCAATTTGCCTACTGTAGCTGGCGAGCAAAACACACACAACGGTGAACATTTTTTTCGCCGCAGATTTGGCGGAGATTGCATTCATGCTAGAAGGCTAAGGAAAACTTGCAACGTGCCAGACTTACGACAAGCTGCGCGTTTGGCCGGTTCCCACCGGTTCTGGCTGCCACACTGTAGCGCAACTATAGCGCGCAGGAGCTGGAGCCGGAGGAGCAAAAAAAAACGAGGTTCTCTGGCTCTGGCGCTGTCGGTGAGAGAGGAAAGGAGGAGATAGAAAAACGGTTCATGTGAACAGTATCGTTATAGGAGATGAACATAAGAGAAGCCAGAGGAACCAGAGCCACTCGGAGCCCGGCCAAACGGGCTCATTACAGGGGTGCTAAACTTTTTGTGTCAAGCTATAGCCAATCGTAGAAACGATCCAAACAGACTCTATATAAAGAGCATGCTACTCACTGGATAGCATGACATCACACCAAACTTGCCTTTGTTTGATTGGTTCTCCCCCAAATTCCGCAATTCAGTTTGACGCCTTGATTTGCAAATTTTTTACAAGGAAAAAAAAAGAAAAACCAAAAGACCAAATGCAGGCATGCCCAAAATTCAGAAGCTTATCGTCTTATCCGATGGTCTTTGCCTTCTTTATCCAACACCGCCGTTTTTGTCACGTTCACACATGTATGATGCATCTACATCTACATCTACACAGCAAACGCAGGGACCCAGACCCAGCCAGTGGCCACTGAACTGCCGCATTTTTTAGCCACTCATATTTGCGATGGTTCGCGTCAAACAGGACCAATGCAAGACAAGTCTTGTGTTACTGCTACTACGTGCACCAGCAGCACACTAACATTTTCTTTTTATCTTCTTCTTTGTTTAAAAGAAAGCAAGTTCTTTATTTTCCATAAAGGAATTCAACTCTTTCTGTAGACACTGAAAAAAAATATGAACGTAGAGTGTCTTGTTTATTTTCTGAAATAAGTATAGAGTTGCTTTGCACACTGAACTTTAAATAAGTACTCCGTATATGAAGATCCGTTTGTACCCCCGGTAGGATTCATATAGTATAATGCAAAAGAACACGGAAGGATAAAGCGACGCGTGCCATCGAGCAGATTCGTTTCGCTTTTTCCGCCATTTATAAGGGCAAGACGAGCACCGCAACACACACACTCACACTTGGCTAGCAGCTCGGCAGCTCCCGAGTCCTGAGTCCTGACGCGCAGATAGAGAGGGAGAGAGTCTGCCGAAGGGCGACGCGGATCGATCTCCAATCGGTAGGCAGCCGTTGCTCGGCGGCCGGGGGCGGCCACCGTCGTAGCTCCTGCCTCCCGCCGGCTTCCTCCTGCCGTCCTGCGGTTCTGCTGCCGGCTGCCGCCCTGCTCCCGTTCCCCTTCCCGGCGCGCTGCTCTCTACTCCTGCCTCTGCCTTGGAATCTCGCCCTGCCTTATTTATTCCCTCACCTGTCTCTGCGGCCTAGCCCCTAGCTTCTACAACTAGGAGTAGTAGAGCGCAGGCAGCCAGCGACCGAGCTGCGACTGCTGCGAGTAGAGAGAGAAAGTGCGGACGAGCTTCAGAACGGAACAGTAGCTCTCTGCTGTCTTTCCGTGCGACTGGACCTTGCTCACCTGCAGCTTTGAATGCGCAGGGCTCGGACGAGCTTCAGAACGGAACAGTAGCTCTCTGCTCACCTTGCTCCCTTGCTCGCAAAACCTTGTCGCCTTTTGGTCACCTCGGGCACCGCGAGCTAGGCGCAGCACCTGTGCTGTGCTTGCTTCTGTCCTCTCCTGACTCCTCTTCTGTTCTCCGCTCTCCTCTCCTCTCCTCTCGGCTCGTTGGTCGCCATCCTCATTTATTATATATCCCGCCGTTCCTCTCCCTGCTAGTCCACTGCTCGCTACTCTGCCTGCTTCTGCATCTGCTTGTGTTGTGAGTCGTGCGACCCCTGACCCGTAACGGCGATCATGGCGTGGCGCGGCCCGCTCGGAGCCGGAGAGGCCGGGGACAGCGGCCTCGAGCTCAGCCTCGGCCTCCCGGCCTACTTCACCAAGCCATCAGGTTAGTAGTCTGCCAGGAACCACGAACCAGTACACTTCTTGTTTTCTGTTGCAAATGGCTACGTAGCTCAAAAGTTTTGATCTTTGGTGGTGGCTCTCAGGTTTGGACGCCGCCGGCGAGGAGTCCGGTGAGGCCTCTGCTTTCGCTCTCCAGGCTGCCAAAGGGAGCAATGGCTCAAAGGCAAGGTTGGTACTTGGTGCCGTGTGTTGGTTTCTCTATTCACTTTTTTTCTGAAAGAAAAAAAGATCGAATTTTGATGGCCGTTCAACCCTCCGGCAGGGTTAGGACAGCAGCCGCGGCGCCGGTGGTGGGGTGGCCGCCGGTGCGGTCGTTCCGGAGGAACCTGGCCTCGTCCTCCTCCAGGCCGTCGCCGCAGTCGTCGTCGGGTCACCACCGTCTCCACAAGGTTCAGGACGGCGGCGGCGCCATGGACGGCGCGCACAAGGGCGGCCTGTTCGTGAAGATCAACATGGATGGCGTGCCGATCGGGCGCAAGGTGGACCTCACCGCGTACGGCGGCTACGCCGACCTCTCCGCCGCCGTCGGCAAGCTCTTCCGCGGCCTGCTCGCCGGTACGAATGCTCGCCCGTCCCGCCCTGTCTCCTCCTCCAAGAACGGCGGCGCCGTACTGTGTATGTGGCCATGTGCATGCTTGTCCGTCGTCTCACGAAGCAAGAAATTGTTTTTCTCTCGATCGCGCAGCTCAGAGGGACCCGGCCGCCACGGCGGATGGCGAGGAGGCGGAGGAGGTGGAGGAGCCCGTGATCGGCGGCGACTACACGCTGGTGTACGAGGACGACGAGGGCGACAGGGTCCTTGTCGGCGACGTCCCCTGGGAGTAAGTGGAAACGGCACCAAGACCCCCCCACACCCACGCCTTGTTTAGATGACCCAAAGGTCCAAAAAGTTGCTACAGAACTTATCACATCGAATGTCTGTGGCCCGTGCATGAAGATTAAAGGTAGACGAAAATAAAAATTAATTATACAGTTTGGTGAGAAATTGCGAGATGAACGTTTTGAGCATAATTAGTTTATATTTAAACACTATTTATCAAATAAAAATAAACGTGCTACAGTAGCTCCAAAATCCAAATTCACCTAACTAAACAAGGGCCCACTTGCACAACACAACACGTCCGCGTCACCATGGTCAATTTCATTCGAATTCCCATCTCACGTGCCCGAGTGCCGTCCATGTCCGCCGCAGGATGTTCGTGGCCACCGCCAAGAGGCTGCGCGTGCTCAAGAGCTCCGATGTGCCGGCCTCGTCGGTGAGTCCTCGCCTGCCCTGGCCGCCCGTTCCTGCGAAACCGATGAATGAATTGACACGCATGTCGTTATCTCTCTTGTTTTGCAGCTGAGAGCAGGGGGCAGGAAGAGGGCTGCAGCCGACTGCTGAAACGTGCTCTGCTGCATCATGTGCTTGTAAAAAGTCCCAAGTGGAGGAGACGAGGAGTGGCCTGGGCTCCTGGCCCTGTCCCTGGCCTTTTTTTGCTGTCTTTCTGCTAGTAGTACTAGCAGTGTGGGTGCCAGTAAGTAGGGAGGGAGTATATGGGAACAAAGTCATGACGGTATTAAGGTCATATAATGCAAGATTAGCAGTGCCAGTGGTAGTACTCCTGGGTGTTAATGAATCTATGGTCTTTTTGTTTTGGGGTATATTTTGACGGTTTAAAGCTGTACTTACTATGAATCTATGGTCTTTGTTTTGGCGTCAAATTTCGGTGTGTTGTGGTGATCTCACACGAACGTGTTTCTGCGTGACCTTTACAATGACCGTGATACATAGGACATGATGAGTGTGATACGTGCTGATCTGAGTTCTGACGATTTCAGAGTTGAAATCTGAACTTGAACTCTGTTTCGCCAAACCACTGACCTTGCCTCCTAAATCCCGATCGTTCGAAACTTCGAATCGAGATCGTTCTACTTCTATTGCAGACTCTGGGCCGGTTTCCTTCATCGAACTCGGTCCTCGCCCGTTTATAAGGCCCAACAGGCGATACTATCCCGGCCCAACTAACCGTACCAGACGGGACGGCCCATCGTGCTGGCACGAATCTCTTGCTGTATCCCACACCCCGTTCTTTCCTCTTCTCCAAACCGAGGTGCCCCTGCCGTGCTCCGTCGTTGCTTCCGTTCTAACTTCTAAGGTGCGTTGTCGCGGCACCCTCTCCGACCTTACTTCGTGATCTCGCTTCCTTCGCCTTGCGGTTTCCTTTCGATCGGTGCGGCGGGGAAGGCTTTTTGTCCCTTCCCTTGCCGTGCGCTGTTCCGCGCTTCGGTTTTCCGTTTCGTGTCCATCGGCGGAACAGGGGACGCGGGCGCGTGCCGACTTTCTTGATTGCTTTCGTTTGTGCTCTGGAGGATTTAGACTTCCTAGATACTCCAAAAGGTTACCCTTCTCTAGTTTGTCGGATTTTTTTTCGTATAAAGATGGGTAACGCGAAAAGCGAAGCAGCAGTTATCGCTGGGATTTGTGTTCATAGCGTTGTTGTTACATCTTGTTTGAGAAGCGCATCAATAAGTGGTTTGAGTTGATGTAGTATCTTGTTCGTGTGGTGGTGAGATGGAATTAGAGATGGTTGCCCATCTTGTTTGACGTAATATATTGTTTAAATTTGGGCAAAGAGATAAATAGAAACAACGACAACCATTGCTGTGCTGGAATTTGTTTTGATACCCTTGCTGTATACCAGTTGCAGTTGAAGCCATCTAAGTTCTTAACGCCAGAAGGTTACTCCCAAATAAGTGACTGAAGTATTTTGGTCATTATATGCAGGATGGTGGCGTCAATGGGTATCCCTGCCAAGGGTGGGTTCAGCTTCGATCTGTGCGCGAGGAATGATATGCTGGAGAAGACGGGCCTCAAGATTCCCGTTTTCAGAAAGACCGGGACTACAATTGTCGGTCTAGTTTTTTCGGTATGTCTGGGATATCCCACGTTTTCTAGGCATCTGTTGTCTCGTACTTTTTGTATAAGGAGATTTAGCAGTGGAAATTAGATTCCATAACCGGAAAAGTAGCGGATATAATTAATAAAATTGGAACTTCCTCCCAAAAATCAATGTTCATTAGTGGATGTTTAGCTGTGTGGTAAGGTTTCATTAGTGCAGCCTTTCGTTTGCTCATTTTAAGCCAATAGCAGAGTTGAGCTGTTTTAAAAAAGGCTAGCCCAAATTTGATGAAGTTTAGCGTTTTTGAGTTTTTATTATCAAAAGAACAGAGCACTTTCCAGTTTAAGCAACTTTCAGCCTGAACAAACCTCAAGGATATCAGAGAAGAACCTCATCTGAAAAACAATAAAGGAGAAGTGAAGTAGAGTCATCTTAAACGACGCCATTTAGCAAGAATAGGTCCTTTGTGCAGTTGCGGTCCTATAAGATTTAGGGGTCTGTCATCTAAGTCACCTTCACCAAATCTTATATTGGTAGCTTAATATATTTGAATATCTTACCAATGGTGCTTAGAGTAGGAAAGGCTAGTTGTTATCGATTGTTTGACTGCTCTTTCCATGCACATTATGTTTCTAGCCACTGGCATATATACGCCTGATAAGTGGTAAGTTAATGACGTTGTCGAATATAATTTGGATCCTTGTATGTTGCTAGGATGGTGTTGTTCTTGGTGCAGACGCAAGGGCAACTGAGGGGCCTATAGTCGCAGACAAGAATTGTGAGAAGATTCATTACATGGCACCAAATATCTATTGCTGTGGAGCAGGAACTGCTGCTGATACAGAGGCTGTAACAGGTAATATTAATCATACCACACACCTTCATCCTTGTCAAAATGATAATTGTTATACCAACTTTTCCTAGATATGGTTAGCTCCCAGCTGCAGATCCAGCGTTACGCAACTGGTCGTGAATCAAGAGTTGTAACAACTCTTACACTTCTAAAGTCACACCTTTTTAGGTATCCTCGTCTCTCACCCCAAAATTCTTGCATATATTGAGTAGTAGTACTAGGACTTTTAGTTTGGAGCTGACATCTGATTTGGTCTGTCATTTTATTGAAGATATCAAGGTCATGTTAGCGCTGCCCTTGTTCTTGGTGGAGTTGATTGTACTGGACCACATCTACACACAGTGAGTACTATTATTTGCATGATCCTCAACGAAGAAAAATTCCAAAACATGGTGCCATTGACTTCGTGATGAACAGGTTTATCCACATGGTTCAACAGACACACTACCATTTGTCACAATGGGTTCTGGGTCCCTTGCGGCAATGTCAGTTTTTGAAGCAAAGTACAAAGAAGGGCTCACAGTAAGTGCCACTGCATTTGAGGTTATGAAGAATGTGTTTTCTCTATAAAGGGCGTACCCAGTGCAGAGAGCTCCCGCTCTGTGCGGGGTCTGGGGAAGAGTGTCAGTGGCAAGCCTTACCCACGCCTATGTAATGCGAGGAGACCGCGACTCGAACCCGGGACCACGTACCAGGCCCACCCTTTTTTTGTTAAAGTCTTAATGCTATTGTTTCTGTTGATTTATTAAAGTGGACTACTTGGTTGCATCTTTCATATAAGCCAAACATTATGATCCATATTCATGCATGTTTTTTTTTTATTTGAAAATCTTTGTTTTGGAACTCTTGACTTCGATTGTCTCATTGTACAGAGGGAGCAGGCAATACAACTTGTATCAGAAGCTATTTGTGCTGGCATCTTCAATGACCTGGGCAGTGGTAGCAATGTTGATGTTTGTGTAATTACCAAGGTATGGCTATATCTGATAAGAGTTGTAAGTTTTTAAAATGACATGATCTGTGAAGTGTTAGACCGTATAGAAGGGAAGTCATCTGTGAAGGCCCCTTAACTGCAAAGCCGCGAGAAACAAAGGAAGCAAAATGCTTATAATTTAAGGATCAATAGTATATCTGTGAAACTGTGATCAGTCGTCCAGAGCTTGTACCAGACTAGTATGTCTCTGGAAAATTTGAGCAAAGGAGTGTTCTCTCTTTGTTTCTTGTTAACCCAAAATGGCATATTGCTCCTTTTATAGAAAAAAAAACATTTACCAGCTTTAACTGTTGTCCAAAATCTGTTTCTAAATCCGTATAATCATCATCGTATTAGCTTTTACATGGGCTGGTTTGTGCAGCTTTTGATAAGTATGAGAAAAGTAACATAGAAATTACCTTGTTCAGAAGTTTAACAGTCGATGGTTCAATGCATATAAAAGAAGCTCTAATGGTTACAAATTCAAAAGTTTTAGGATTGTCGGATTTGGAGACATCTGCAACTCCGCTTTTATTGGAAGTTTGGAACTATGAACAGCACTTCCCAAGCCTCGTTTTGGTTACAGATTGCATCCAGCTGCCAAGCCTCGTTTTGGTTATAGATTGCATCCAGCTCTAGCATGCTAACTGCAGATGCCGGACTGTTAAGATGTTGGAAAGACATTATAGCTACTTGCTAGCTAATCTTTCCTACATCTATGGTAAGCACCCATGGCAGATACTACTATATCACTCGAAATTTCTCTACTGAGATTTCGAGGACATTTCTCTACTGAGATTGCGAGGCTGCAATCAGGGCAGCACCTATTTTTGAACCGTCATCTTCATGCTTGACTCCTTTACCGTCATCTTCATGCTTGACTCCTGAACCGTCATCTGCATGCTTGACGGCCACTAAGTCATTTTTGTACTGAGATTGTGAAGCTGCAATCAGGGCAGCACCTATTCCTGAACCGTCATCTGCATGCTTGACGGCCACCGCCTTAGACACCTCATCTCCTAGCAGCTCACCCAGGGTGGTCTCCAAGCATTGGCGGAATTTGGTGTAGTGCTCGAACAATCCTCCATCGATGGCGATGACTGATCGTTGATCCTCGACACTGCAATCTCTGCCGAGCTTCATGAGGATGCCTGCAAGCCCTGCAGCAGCCAGCCGGGCAGCTCTTGTTGCCACAATGTCACAAATTTCAACCACCAATTTTCGAGCCTCCAAGGATGTGCCTTTAATCTGCAATAGACATCAAACCCACTCAGACTCAGGTATACCTCAGTATGACACAGCACCGCAATGATCACAATGCCAACATACCTCTAGGTTTTCTTCCAGTTTTTCGGCCACAATCTTCAGATCAGGTGTTTCATCATGGTGCATTGCAGAAATATGTGGAGTCCTGTGAACCACATAAACCTAGATTTATTAGCATAACTCAACCTTGAATTGAATTTTGACAGTATTTCCCTACACACCACAATGATCTGTTCAATTAAAACATAAAACATGATGAACGACCAATGGAAGCATGTAATTGAAACCAATGCTTCACAATCTTCTTCCTGATTTTAATATAAAGAAAAGAGTAAAACTACAAAGAAGCCAAGCCGCCTACATACCGCAGAAGGAAAGGGGTTTCAAGCTTAGTGTGGTCAATATTGCCAAAAATCGAGGACTGCAATGATATTTTAAGGAGCACCCTCCTTACAATTTCGCCTAAATACATTCCTGATGTTAACTTCTCGTAAATCTGAAAGGAAGTCGAAAGCAAGACAACTACATGAGAAACCAACAGTATGAACAGCAGAATATATCTTCTACACGGAAACTTGCCTGTTCTCCTGGATTTAAGCTCTCCTTATCTAATTCTTGGTCATATTCAGTGATGGGGAGATGGGCTGAGCAGAAGTTACCCCATTCCATGTTGATGACCTGAATGCAGGAAAATCATTTTTTTCTAAATAAAAACTAGCACAGTCCGACCTGCAATCATTCTTTGAGTACTGCTAGATTTAGTAAAAACAATGTGGTCTCGAGCGCTCAAATCTTACCATGTCTCCTGAATTGGGCAGCTCACCCTCCCATTTTGGAATAGCATTTGCCTTCTCAACATATGCTGCATTTGTGCCAGTGCCAAATATTACACCAGCGACAACATCTTTGTCGTAGTACCTTGCTCCAGCCAGAGTCCCAACAGCATCATTAATCTGTTTCATCACAATATCTGCTGAAACCACAAGTTGCTTATCGAAGACTGACAAAGTATAAAAAATATGTTCTGACACTCACCAATGCAGCTACATGGATGTCCAGACCTTGCTTCCCCATAGCTGTTTGCAGTTCAGCCACCACATCTTCACCTACCTGATTCCATAGAAACATCAATTCAGCGGAAGGTTTTCAATAAGAAAACATTAGGTGCATACAATTGATCCGATAAAACATAGTTACTCAAAATAGCTTCAGGAGAAAAATCACTATGACCATAAATGGAGCAGCAATACAGGATCTTTGAGAAGCTGCAGTTAACATAACCTTTTACGCTGAACACAGACAAGTTGGGCTTATGGGCACATCAAGACTTACAGCATCATTAATAGAAAATGCCTTTGTCCACTTGACAAGTGTACCGGAAGCAACAGAACGCTGCTTCACTGGGAATGAAAATGTGAACCCTAGTTCTCTCTTCTTTCCATTCGAAATGTTAGTGCACTTCTCCTCATCATTAACAAACTTGGCCAATTCAGAAGCAATGAAACCAAAAAGCTCCTAGGATGATGTAAATGCATACTGTCAGTTTAAAATAAACCGCATTAACTGAATTCTGGACGTCTATACTTACCGGGGAGCTCCCTGACATCAAATGTGGAGGAATACTTACCGAGGATTTCCCTGACATCAAATGTGGAGGAATACCGACTTCTCTGGAGTAACGGTCCACGACATGCTTCTCATTCCCACCCAGTTCCACTTTCAAGACGCGGAAATTCGTTCCTCCTAGGTCCAATCCATAGAATAATCCCTCCTCTCCCCTAAAGTTAGTAGTAGAATAGTAAAATACTGTAGTGGTGTGCTCAAGACAGATAAATTTGCCTCTTGACAACAATTATTTAGATTATATCTAAGTCTATCAGGTAGCTTGAAGCTTACATAAATTACTTACAGTTGAATAATCCTTTTATGCTATCAGACATAGAAGCTATTGCATATTTGCATAGGATGACCAAATGTATTCCCTAAATATATCGCGCTCAAATTCACTCATATAAAATTATTACCAAAAAATCAGATAAAGTAAACATGTATACTGTTTCCTGACCGAGGTCCTTAAAACATTATTCTGTTGTCCTGCAATTGTTTATTACTTGAACTAGTACTGCCAAGCAAGCAACAGAACGCTAAATCATCCTCTGATCAGACAAACAAAGCAAGAAAGACAGCTACAAACCCTGTGGGGAGCTTATCGACGTAGGAGAGGAGCATCTTGACCCTGCTCCCGCCTTCCTTCTCCAGTCCCGCGCCCATCTCGCGGGCCATCTCCGCCGCCACCTCGCGCAGCATCGACGGCGGCTTCTCGCACTTCGCTCGGAGGTCGGCCACCACCTGCTCTGCCATTGCCAGCGCAGCTGCCGCCATGGCCCCAGCCCCCGAGGAGCAAATCAAGAATCCTGGATCCGGGGACACCAATCAGCAGGAGACAGAAAAGCAAACAAAAGGCTGGATTTTCGGAGGAGTCGAGAGACCAAGGAAAATGCTAAAAAAGAGCGAGGGGGGAATGGTAGGACAGCGAAGAGCTCCCAACAGTTCGATTCATGGGGGGAGGGAAAAGGAGGCTAAGCACCAAGAGAAAGTCAGGATCTTTGGGGGGTTTTTAGGAGGAGAACAAGGCATCTTTGGATTAGGGACGACTCAAGGTGAGGCACGTGAAATTTAGCAAGCTTTTGGGTACTGGATGGATCAACTCGACGGGGAAAAGGCAGGAAAAGAACGGGGTGGCGCCTGCCGCTGGGTGTGTTCGTGCGTGGCTTTGTTTGGTTCCTTCTCGGGAGCTGCGCAGGGAAAGGGGAGAAGGGATCATGTTAGGATTAGGCTCGGGATCACATGGATCTTATCATACTGAGTCATGTTGGCATGGAGATGAACGGAGAGGTTGGCCGGGAATGGTCCGGTACTCCGGTCCGGCGGTGAGCATCTCACCTGACCTTTTTCTTTCTGATGATGATGGAGCGGCGCCGCGCCCCACCCTCGCCTTGCCTGGCTTGGCTGAGTGGAAGGAAGCGTCTGTGCTGTGACTGTGATCTTGGGGGACTGCCGGACCCGCTGGGGGGGCCTCGTGGATTTATGGAGGTCGCGTTGGATTGCTGATGCTAGAGGTCGCTTTAGCCAGGTGCTACGTGGGTTAAGGGCGATAGACAGATGGCTTGTACACCAGGACAGGTAAAGCCATGAAAAAATGAACGTGTCATGCACGCTTTCATTGGCAACTGCCATCCAAGTATATCCGATTACTGCCTGCACCCGCGTCGGATTTTGTTTTCTTAAAGGCAACCGCGTTGGATTTATTAATAAATAATAATGCTATTGAACTTATCCAAACAACCCGATACAGGGAGACTCATTGAGATCAACAAAATTTCAACAAAGTCCTTGCAAGTTTTGAAACTTCTGTTTCACTTCCCTTCTAAGTTCTAACCTAGGATGAATAATGGCATCGCCTCGTTGGAGCTGGTTTGAGTAAAGTATGACAGACACAGATATTGTTCCCACAATCGACGACGGAGTTTTTCTTGACACATGTGACATCACGTCCAAGGGCGGCATGCCTTTGCATCCATGAACGGCCTTGAGCAAGGCCATTGCCTTGCTAATTAAGGAAAGAAGTAACTAACACCATCACATTCCAACCATATATGGTGATAGAATTGTCATCGGCAACCGGCCTAGGGCAAAGTCATTGCATTGCTGAGGAAAGAAGTAACCGACACCTTCAAGTTCCAACCACCGGGTAATAAAATTGTCATCAACACATGCCGACAAGGTAACAATACCCAGCAGGGGAAGTGAAATAGCAACCCAAGTTGTGGCAAGAAACGTACCCCACCAGGATATCGTCATGTAGGTTATGACACTTAGGGTGGCGTCAATGGCTTCGAGGGACAACAACCTGCCAAAAGCCGCCGCTAATGACTCCATCAAGAAACGTATACCTACTCGGCTACTTCCACCATTGGCCTCTAGGGAGGTCACCAAAGGGGAGGGACCAGCAAGATCGATGTCATGATTGGAGATCGTTGCGAGCTTCACCTTTCTGCAACTGTAGTGGAAAGTGAAAGAGGAATATGTATTGCATGCATTGCATATGTGCACCTAGTGACTGGAGTGACAACGAAAACTGGTAAGAGCTAAAAGGAGCGTGTTAACGTGCGACTTGTTGGGTAGTAGCATAACGCTTGACAACCTCATCAACCAATCCTGCATGAGTACTGCCATCTTCCCAACCAATCACGCATGAGCATGACGCTGAGAGCATCATATGTTTTTGTCGTTGTAGAACAATCATGTGTAGCCTATGAGGCTATGTGCAGGAAGCGAATTAATGTGTGTGAGCATGCATCTTGTTTGTTTTACACTGGCTCGTGATTTTCTCGCTATAACTGAGAAATAGAAATTAACCGTTCAATGTCTACTCGTTCTCCCCTATTCAATTCTCAATGAACAACACAATCTTGGGCTATCATTTGTTCAATTTGGTCGATGTGATGCTTAGTTAACTCACAAATCTTGATGTTTTTTCCACTTATGTCTAATCGACAATGAAGCTAAATGCCTTTTTTTTGTCCAATTGCATCCATTTTTGTTGAGAAATTCCAACTTGTTCATTGGGAAGTTATCTAGCTCTTGAGACATATGACATTCTTTACCCTTCTCTTTTTCTGATCTTCTTATCTAGAATCTACAATGGTTGTATCCCGAACAAAAGAGCCATCTCTATGTCTTCTGATTTCAAGTATAATGATTTCATGCATTTAGATAACGAGACCTTCCACATACATAAAAATGTAATTGTTAAGTGATTCACTAATATGGATAGGATCTCAATGAACACTTCTTTGAGAGATAGTCATGGTAAGTAATTCCTTGTATAGGAAAACCTAACTAAGTACAGGAGACACTTTTTGGAGCAAGTAGTTAGGGATTAGAATGAGTGAAGAGGAATGGTACATAAAATATGGTGGGTAAAGTGTGGATACCTCACATTTGCATGGCGATGGGTCACTGGTGTTCTGGCAAATTGTATGGTTGCACCGTTAAGTGGTCCACCAGACTCGAGATGATTTGGATGGCTGGCATAAGTATTCTCATACTGTCTGGTAGAGGGGTACTTGCTAGAGTCAGTTAGGATTTCAAAGGCTTATGGTTTAGGGTGTTGAGATTGACTTAGAAAACTAGTTAAGAGAGTGTAGCCCTAGGTAAGAAGGGCTTCACGAACATAGGATGAGAGTCAAGGTAGCATGGGGAAACTTCTTATTTTTGATTTGGAGAAAGAGGCATAACTTGCAAGGGATTAATTCAAGAGGGATTCAAGGTTATAAGGTGAAGGATTGGTGGTCAACACGAGGGTCGTGAAAGGTATGTAACTGTTCAAGCAAAGGGTTGTCCCTAGGGTACACGACGAAGGTGAAGCAAACTGAACGACTCAGATCAAACTTACTTCGAGTGGGTGTGGCTTTTTAGGGATTGGATTATGAGGTTTTAAAGCTTGAGAGGCAAAAGTAAAACTGCACTAGGTGAGGCATGAATTGAGTTATGAGCCCTTACACTGGAAGAGTAAGAAGAAAATGGTTGAGACTCCAAGGCCTCATTTGAGTGTAAAGCTTCATGTTAGCTAGAAGGTTGGTAGGCTAGACCAACTCACTCCCTTGCTAGGGTTCAATTAGGTAGGTCAAGTTATGGAAAAGGGTCGACAAGCAAGTAATGATAATGAGGTGAACTTGTGATCAATCAAGGCCAGTTGAGACGCATGGTTCATGTTGGGAGTTGCCCAAATTAGGATGGCTAATAAGAATGGCCATGAGGACCGTAAGGGAAAGGTGCTTATCCTTGATAAGGCCTTGTTATCATCCAAAACCTAATTACGACTGATGTTAAAAAATTTGTGGCGCATGGTATGATTCCCAGCAACTTATGTTCCTACTGTTTAAAGGATAATGTGTGTGTGTACCAATTCCTTGTGCCACTGAAAAAAATCTTAACTTATCTCTAGTGCCACTATCTCAATTTTTCATTGCTTTAGTGCCACTTCCATTAGTGAGTTGTTATGTTGCTATTAAGTTGTCATGGAAAAGACACGTTTACCCCTCCAATCAATTGAAGTAAATTTTGGGCTCATTCCTTACTTTTCATTGACCATTCAGATTGGCATAAGTTCATGATTACATTCACAAGACATAAATCACATAAATTATAGGCAAATTTAGCACTATTAATAAAAAATTGGCATGTCCTAGTTAGTAGCAAATTACAGATGAACCCAAATGCAATTGAGAGTGTAGAGGGAGGAATTGATGAGAGTTTAAAGTGTGGCTAAGTACACATGTTGCCCAACTATGATAGAGATGTGGTGATAAGATACACGTCGTGGATTGGACTTAAGAATTATGTGGCTTGGGTCGAACAAAGCCTATGATTTTTCAGGTATAATTTTTTTGCCCAATAATATCCAATGTACATAGTTAGGCTGCTCTTGGGTCGAGCCACAAACTCTTTTAAGTTGGAAATGATTCAAAGAAATACTTCAGACCAGGCTCGGACCAAGATTTTTTTCATGGGTTTGCTTATCATTGTCCAGTAACAGGCTCAAGTTGGGCCTATTTTGCTCAGGTGCAAGACACTACTAGGAATATCCACTTCTATGACGATTAGTTTTCGTCACTGAAGGAGCCAAATTCGTCGTAATTTCAGTTTTATAACGAATTTATAACAAAAAAACGGTTCGTCATAGAAGTCACGTCATTCTTGTAATTCTATGACGATTCTGGATAGATTTATGACAAAAACTTATCGTCATAGAATTGCTTTGGCATGCGTGGCAGTGGGCAGCCACGCTGGCGGGTGCTTCCGTTAGAGATGCTTTCCACGTGTACATGCTATAGCCGGTTGCATTAGAGATGGTTCGGGTACGTGTCACCTTCTTATTGCATAACGTGGTCATCTCTGGTTCTTGCACGTTTCAGGTTCTTACTGGACCACGTGTCGGGATCATGTTGTTCCACATGTCAGTTTTCTATTGGCATACGTATCGTGTTGCTGTTGGGTCACGTGTCACTTCTTCATTGGACCAAGTGTCGTATTTTTATTGGTCCACGTGGCGTGACCACAATACCCCGCGTGTCTTTCTTTTACTCGACCACGTGTCTCGATGCTGTACGTCCGCGTGTCAGTATTTTATTAGGCAACGTGTCGCGCCCTGAGCTATCCATGTTTCTTTTTCTAATTCAACCACAAGGTAGGATGGATTTGTACCACGTATTTTGTTTGTATTGGCTCACGTGCCCTGTCGTGGTTGTTACACGTGTCATTCACTGGTTCATCCACGTGTCAGATTCTTATTTAAAAACATGCCTGCGCCGAATCTA